TTTGGTGTTTAGTTTTGAGCGATAACATAAGTAGATCATTGTTTATGTTTGTTGATTGTTCAGTATTGATGTAAAATGGTTTAACAATAGAAACAACACAAAGGTTCATTGATTTCAAAAGAGCAGAACTGAGAAACTCCCCCTATTCATGGGAATATTTTCATTTACCTTTTTAATTTTTGAATATAGCAACAAGACACTTTTTAACACGTCATGTATGAATAATTGCTAATAAGTACAGGGGAGTGGGTGGAGATGTGGGGCATTCGAGCACTCAAGCTTTGAACGCAGGACAATACAGGAATACACAAATATACATGAAACAATCAAAATAAAACTCAACAAGCTAATGATTATTGAACACCATTATTATTATTAAAGCAGACCTATTCTGCAAAAAACTACTTTTCTGAGCTTTTCAGCCATGTTATAGTTTCCCCTTGTATCAGTGATACACACAGGATTCACTAGCGTTGCATAGTCATTTTGCTACAAATGAAAAAGAATATTCTGCTCGCTAGTGTGATCTGCAGCTATCTATATATCTATAGGATGGGCTGAAAACCTCACCGTTGTGATCATGTTTACAGCAACGTCAGCTCCCATTGGTCACCACAGTTTTCTAACGCAGAAGTCAGCAGAGTTCCACATTAAAAACTTTTATTATGTCATTTTAAATGAATGTTACAATTTAAAATGTCCAAATTATAACATAATGATGCAGGGGTGTCATAGATTACACCTAGCCTGATTCATCAGCCGGTTTCACTTTGTGGAATCTGTATGACCTCGCAGCATTAGAATGCGTTCGCTCGACAGTAGGCGGGTACTTTTTTTTTATTTATAACCAATCGCTGCTATTTGGTCATGACATATGTAAAGTGCTGCTAACTGGTATATTAAGCTTTTCCCAAATCCCGTAGGAAGAAATTCAATAACGTCTTTCCCCTTCATAAAATTCACCAAACATTCGGTTTGTTCTGGCTTTAAATCCTCGGTCTTCCATGGTTTTTACAAACCGTCTACTGTATTGTGATTCCTGACCTAGTCGCTGGAGAGGCACTAGCGGAGGCACTAGGTAGCGCCAGCCTGGCTAGATTATACCTACATAGCAGACACAAGCACAATAGGTCTTTAGAAGATAAAGTTGATTTGACATACTATGTGACCTTTGAATGCACATGTCATTAATCCTGTTTAAATTAGTTTTCCATGACTACAGTGGAAGCACAATATTGATAAATGACTTTTTAACATACATTGTCAGTAATGCCTCTTTAAACCCATCTACCTCTCACCTCCCTCTTCCCCCACTCTGCACCCTCTCCACTGGCTCAAACAGCTCTGACAGCCCAGCCCCTTCATGTCAGGGGCACTTTGTCTCAGGTCGGGACAAGTCGATTGATTAATAGCCCCGAATCCCATTGCACCCACCCACCCCCTGCCCCTCTCTCCCTCCGCTTCGTCCTGTACATGAGTTAATCCTGGTTCCCCCTCACTGCTCACTGAAAAGGCCAGGCTCAAACTTTAGCTTCATTTTCTGCTCCTTTCAATCTGTAGATGTGGGTAGAAATAGGTGAGCTCTCTGTGCAGACTCTAAATCACAAACAGAAAGGAGACGAAGCTTCGTGTAGGAGATGAGTGGGACCAGGAACAAAGGCTAAGAGAAGAAAGATGCTAAAAATATCCACCGGTATGTTTAGGTGGAGGGTCTCGGTCTATAGTGCTGCTGACATGTGAGGTGCAACATTAAAGACTGCACTGATGCGGATTACAGGTTAGCAGGTTTTGTAACACCAGACTGATATTATTTTCAGTGTTGCACAAACATGTATTGCTCTGAAACCTGTTTAAATGTGTTATCTTTGCCTGATTGTGAAAACAAATCATGCTAATTTTGAGTTTGAATGAAGTTACAATGTTATAGGCCCATATTACTCTATATTTACCTCCGCCAAGGAGGTTATGTTTTTGCCGGCGTTTGTCTGTCTGTTTGTTTGTTTGTTTGTTTGTCTGTTAGCAACATAACTCAAAAAGCTATGGACCGATTTTGATGAAATTTTCAGGATTTGTTGGAAATGTGAAAAGGAAGAACTGATTTCATTTTGGGGGTGATCCGGAAGAAATCCTGGATTCTGGATCACTTTGAAATTTTAGTTAACATTGTGGTAAATGGGGCCAAAAATTTTGTTTCTCAATATCTCGGTTAATTATTGACCAAACCCCATGAAATTTGACTCAGGGATGGACAATGGGATCCTCTTTCATATTCCAAAGGCTGATCCACATCTGATCCAGAAGACTGATTTTATCGCAATTTATATAAAAAATGGGGGTAGTCCTTGGCGGAGGTCTGCGCTCTCTGAGTGCTTTTCTAGTTTGATCTGTTATTATGTTGCTTCCTCATCACAAATATACCTGGAGTTGTGTTTCGTTTCATTCACACGTTTAATACACAAACCCTGCATATTTCAGATGTAAATGTGTGAACCCTATTTTTTTTCCCACGTATTTGAGCAAAGTATGTATAATATACTATTGTACAAGTAGCTCTTGAGGTCAAAATATGTCCGCTGCGCTCCATCAAATTATGAAGCGTTTTATTGCCTGATAATGCGCGTTAGCATGCTAGTTTTACTGTGACGGCAAACTTTGCTCTGGTCTCAGAGTTGTGAAAAAAGCAGAGAGTAACTTGGATGCTCAGAATGCATAAAGTAAGTGAGGAATTGGTTTGGACCACTGCAAACCATTTCAAATGAACTAGGTCAGAGTTTCAAGTTTTTGAAAGGTCGTATATTATGCAAAATTGACTCTTGTGAACTTTAAGTCATGTTAGAATGCTGTTACTTCATCAAAAACATACCTGGATTTGTGTTTTGTTTCATTTACACATGTTTTAGTAACCCTTTATTATTAGTCTGTCTAAATCTCTAAAGCTCAAAATGCTCCATTCCACCTTGTGATGTCATGAAGCCATAGTTTTTCATGTTAACATTTACCTCTAATTCAGTAGAGATTGGCAATTCCATGGGTGAAATTATCCAAATGATTCTAAGGAAGGAATATTAAGTTTTAAAACACAGTGGAACTCTTCCTGTATTACCACATGATATCACCAGGTGGAACAAAATATTTTCCGTTTGAGAGAAGAACTCACAAGTGTAAAACATTTGTGAATGAAACAAAACAAAACTCCAGGTTTGTTCTTGATGATGTTGGATCAAAAAAATGGCATAATATGGGCCCTTTAAGATTGTAAAAATCAGGTACAGAGCTTTTAACAAAACCTTTTTTATTAATCCTCCTTTTTTCCTGCACATTTGTTAGATTTTTATATCATGAAACGGCAAGATTCCAATACAGCGAAGAACAAAAACAAATACATTTGACTTCATTTGGCTTCATTTACTGGTTGTTTATTCATGAACCCACATTTAAATCTGGTCTGGGGCAGAGTGAAGAGCCAAATTATGTGAACGCAGAATAAGTCACATCAAGTTTAATTGAGTATAAAGTCAACAGCCCCCATACCCTCGTCCCCGCTCGTCCCTGTGTGCGCCCACTGTGACTTCAAGCCCCTAATTCCTCACACGCTTCTGTAATCGACTGGGACACCTATTTTCTAAGTCCTACCAAATGACTGTCCGGCTTTTATCTAGCCTAGTCACCATGGTTACGAGTTTGGCGGGCGGGTGAGCGAGTGTGTGTGTTTAGGGCAGAGGGAGGGAGCTCCTAATTGACTGGTTGTTAAAGCTTTTAATGAAGAGTGGGCTGAAGCACTCCAATTAGCAGATAGGGAAGGGAGAGGGGGTCAGCGGAGCAAAAAATGTCCAAAAAGTAGGTCTAAAATGAAGAATCGGACCGTATGGAGTGCTTTGAGGAGTTAAATGTCAACTTAAAAAGATGTGTCATGCTTTGTGGACAAAAATATCTAATTAAAAGGCAATCTCAAAGGAATCGGTTCCCAGTGCGACTAAGCTTATGCAGGCCCTGACCAAACAGATGTGGATAAACACACTAATTGCCTACTTTATCACCTGAATTATGCATGCGTGGAATAAGAAATAACAATACACTATCAAGTAAACATACATAATACGATATAGTAAATAGACCTGTTAGAATAATTATTATATCAACTTAAACATATAAAAGCTAAAGCAATATATTTTGGGGCTCAATATTTATCCTTTGTACAATTTATTTGTAAAAGAGGGGAGATTTGGGGTATTTTTTGTTCTAATACAATAAGATTTAAGATGTAAAAGGTTAAATAAGTGTGTTCTGTGGCTAGTTATTGGTTCATTCTGTTATTTATTTATTGAGGTTCAGGCATTTTAATGATTCTGTCAGTTTAAAAATGGTTTACTGGTATTATCTTGCTTTATTGTTAGTGTGTCAGTAGTTTCAATTATCTTTTATGGCAATATTTCTCTGTAGCAATATATGGTGCTTCATAATTTGTTATCGTGACAGGCCTAATAGTAAAATAACTGTCAGTGAAGAAGATTGTAGTAAATAAACTCGCTTGTGATAGACTAAAAAAACTGTCAAAAAAGGTAAGAGGCACTCTGCTGGAAATATTGTGGTTACATGGGACCAATAAAACACAGTCATCCTCACCGTTTTTGAGCCTTGTCCTTGAGGAGCTTCTGTTCTGGACTTTTAGTTTAGAAAAAATAAAAGCTCCTCTCACTCCTTCCTTGTTTTCAGTAAAATTGTGCCTGGAAATCTGCCTGGAATGTTCCACAGTATGAACTTTACTTTAACTTGGTCTGGTTTGGTCTCCATGAAGATAAAAAGGTGTAATGACACTGTGAAACATCCCAGACAAAGCAATAACATCTTCATGAATAAAAGCATTTGACGGACCCTCCAAAAACCTTTAAGATTGGCCAATTACGTATTTCGATATTGGTTCACTGGATGCTTTTATTGCATTCCACCCAGTGCTGCTTTTAAAACCATATTGCTAACAGAGGTGTTCTTTTGTGTGGCAGGAGCAGTGGAGGTGAGGAAAGAAGGTCTGGAGGCTCAGATCAACCGTCTGTCTGAGCTCATCGGACGACTGGAAAACAAGGTGAGAGTCAAACATACAGTGGGCTATTTTAAGTAACTCATTTATTAACAGATTTAAGCATCCCCATCTTGCTCATAACACATACGGACATTTTCACTTCATTGCATTCAGTGGTGGAACATAACAAAAAGTAAAAGTAGTAAAGTAGGCTACTGTACTTAAGTAAAAATTGTAGGTATCTTAAGTACGTTACATACAACATTTGAGAGCAGGTATCTGTACTTTTTACTTCATTACATTTTTGAACTGGACTGAAAAGTAAAGGTATTTTTATTATTGCATGAGACCTGCTGAAAACCTGCAGTATTTTATTTTTTTTTTTCATGAAGGTCGTAATTTGAGCAAACTAATCTATATAAATAAAAGCAGCTAGGAAAATAAATCAATTATTTCTGTTTTCAAAATTCAGTACAAATCGATATCAAAATCACTACACTTGAAGCTTTGTTAGCTTTATTTATTATCCCAAACTCAGGCCAAAACACATTTACTTTTTACTCTTTAAGTACATTTTTAAACAGGTACTTTAATACTTTTACTTAGGTAGATTTTTAAATTTACTTTTACTTGGGTATTTTTGCTTTGGTATCTGTATTTTTACACAAATGTGAGTACTTCTTCCACCACTGATTGCACTGCATTGTCTTCCACATTACACAAGGGCGTACTTCTATCTGGGATGCCATACAGTTTCATGTTGTTGTGAGTATGCAACACCGTAATATTGTGATTTTTGAACATTCAACTTCACAGTTTTGTTGCTCTGCTCTCCAATTATATGACACTATAAATACACACAATGACTTTTCTGACTTATTAATTTGTCAGATCTCTTAAGCTCTTACTGTGTCCACATGGCAGCTGACAGAAGTCTGTTAATCTAGAAACATCCCTCTTAATGTCTCACAGTTTGTCAAAGTTTTAGCCAAAGAACTCTTCAAACTGCCCAAGTAAAAATTATGTTGAGTTTATTTGCACAGTTGGCCTATAAAGTTCCCCTCAGCTCCTCGCAGTTCACACAAATATTCTCATTAATTATGTAATTGTTCTCTATTAGCCTCCATGGAACACAGCATTGATTCTAGTTATTGGTGTAATGTGCTGATGATTTACTGTATGTCAAACTTTCTTTCATACCATCCATAATGCAAGTGTGTTTTCACCTTTTTTTTTTTTTACTATATTTGCCACTTTTAGGTTGAGCCTCAAACAGTAATATTCATCTTAGAGGTACACTGTGTAACTTTTGTGGTTAAGGGTTTGTCACTTGCTTGTGTCCATGGAGATGATATTGCTTTGCCTTGAATATTCCATAGGATGACATTAAACATTTAAAGGGACAGTTCAGAATTTTGGACATAGGGCCTCATTTCCTAGCGAGCCAGAGTGTTGGAGATGTGTGGAGAGACTGTCGATGTAAATGTCTGTGTTGATAGAATAATGTTTGAAATAAAACTAAACTAACCTTGCATCACATGAATCGTCACATGTTGAGGAACTATTTTCTCATATATCAGTCCGCCGCTGCTAAGCTTTCTATCAAGAAGTACTTCTTGATAGAACTTTCTTCTGCTCAGACATAAATCCTTCAAATGCAAGGTTGGTTTTACTTCTAAAATTATTCTATCAACACAGACATTCACACCGACAGTCTGGTGTAATAATAGATTTTCTTCAGGTACTTTGTGGAGTGGTAAGACTGTTTTTAGTGGCAGGCTAACTATGGCCATTGACATGCACTAGGCTAGCACCAGTGACCTCTGCAAATACAAGGACTGGATGGAATATTTAAAAAAGTGTCTCCACACGCCTCCAACACTCTGGCTCACTAGGAAATGAGGCCCTATGTCCAAAATTCTGAACATTAATATAAGTACAGGTGTTTTATTGCTCACAAGTTCAACGAAAAAGCATGCATTCATACTGCAAGCTGGGTATCTCCACAGATCTGACCTGTAATTTGGCCTGGTGTCATTACTTGCCTGTTACCATGGAAATACAGTAGATGTGCTTAATGTCATAGGGTGGAACATACCAGGCAAAGCAATAACATCCCCATGGAGACAAGCAAAAGTTACACAGTCCACCTTTAATGGTTTTGACCATAATCAACAGAAAAGCACTTTTTTGAAATAGTATTATTTTTAGGTCTTGAATAATCGAAGAGCTTATTTTCAGTATTTGTTTATTGTTTTGGTATCAGCGTCAGATCAGTTTTGTGCTTCTTGTATTGGCTGATCTTGGATCAAAACAAAAATCACTGGTACCTCATCACATCAGAGAGACAGCCCATGTTACGTTTTGGAAACCATATCAGAGACATCAGAAGATGGATTACAAATATTTATTGGAAGGAAGACAAGAGACCAAAGATGGGATTTATGAATGTTGTGAGAGGAAATGAAGCACAGAAATGTTTTAAATCAAGATGAATTATTTGCTCTGGTGTCCTGTGAAATAGATTAGCCAAAAGGAAAAGACAGAGACAGACAGAGGCCCCACCTAAGGGCATCATTTGTAGTTCTATGAGATCTATACAAACCTCCTCTACTGCTAGCATTGAGCCTATTTTGTTCATATTTCTCAGCCTGAGCTCTTCTCACATAAATGTGTATGGTCTAATGGATCCCCAGTAGACACTGCTGTCTATGGAGCAGAGGATGGTGCAGTGAGGGGGAAGGGCTGGACCAAAGCTACAATCACATATGGGAGAAATAATAGGATAAGGTGCAGCACTGGCTATAGGCTTGTGTTTAGAAACAATCTTTAGCTATCGCCTCAGGGCTTAATCTAATAGAGCTTTTCCTCAACTGTTTTTCTGCTGAAGGACACATGAGGAGGTCTGCAGATAGAGAAATGCACAGTAATCACCTCACCCATGACCTGTAAAGATAAACTCTGGACACATGGAAGCAAAAAGAATTAAAGGGCCCATATTAAGTTATTTCCTGATCTAGTATGTTAGAATGTTTTTTCCTCATCACAGACAGACCTGGAGTTGTGTTTTGTTTCATTCACATCCTTTCATTCACACAAATCCTGCATATTTAGCCTGAGTTGTTCTTTTGAACTGAAAACACTCTGTTCCACCTTGTCATGTCTTGTGGTAAGTGCTGCTCTGTGTTTTTAAACTCCATACATCTTTGCTAGAATCATTTGGATGATTTCAGCCTTGGAATTTTCCATTTCTAAAACTGCATCATGACATCACAATGTAGCTCACAGCATTTTGAGCTTTGGAGATGTAGGCAGACAAATAACCAGGGTTACAAAAAAAATGTGTAAATGAAACAAAACATAACTCCAGGTATGTTTTTGAGGAGGTAACAACATTCTAACAGCTCACAAAAGTATGATTTATGTAATATACAGGACATTTAAAAAGAAAATAAACTGGGTAATTATGTACCACGCATTTAATCACTACAAGAATATGTTCACTTTTTGCCAATCTACAAAGAACAGAACTAAAGGAATAAAATTAACTAATTAAAATTAAACAGACATAAATGTAACGAATGACAAAATTTATTATTATTTTTTTTACAAATCTATGTTTCTTTTCAACAAAAACAAACTATTCTGCGCTGGGGAATGAGCAGATGTTGATGGTATTTAAAAAAGCAAAATCCTAGGTACTGTCTAACAACTTATCACTCAGTCTTACAAGTGAGTGATTGCCCACCATGACAAAGACCTTGTATAATCTCTGATCAATGTTATAATTAGGGATGCACCAATACCGATACTGGCATTGTGTATCGGTCCAATACTTCTTTAATATACTCCTACTCGTACTCATTAAACATTTGTTGATACCACGCGCCGATACCACTATTACACAACACTACACAACATCACTGGTCACATTCAGGATTGTTGTTCTACCTAACTTCAGTGTCTAGGGGGAGACAAAGACTCAGAAGACATGGCTAGTCATATGCGCAAATAATACTCAATCATGTCATCGTCAGAAGTTTGGAAGTATTTTAGTATTAAGGAGGACGACAGGAGTAAGGATTGTAAATTATGTGGTGCCAAGGTGTCGAGAGGTGGAAGGGAAAACACCTCTTTTAATACGAGCAATTTAGTTCACCAAAGCTAGCACTAGTCGTCAACAGCCAACTTTAACCGAGGTTTTCAAGAAGCGAGAAAAAAGGTAACAACAAAAATAACTGAGGCATTACCCAATACATTGTGCTGGATGACCAGCCACTTTCAGTCAATGATATTGGGTTTCAGCATCTTATAGATGTTCTAGAGCCCAAATACGAGCTGCCCAGTCATCGCTACATCACAGACGTGATGTTGCCTAAAGTGTTCAGTGCTGTGGAAACTCATTTTAGGTCAATGGTACATGACATCGAGTCAATAAGCTTCATGACTGATAGTAGCTAAGTTGGCTGTGCATTACTGCATCAAATTTTGTATTGATCAAAGAGTCAAAATAAAATCTGCAATTCCCTTAATTGCCATTGTATGTTCATGGGGGTGACAGTTAAAGTATTGGTATTGGTACTCAGTATCAGAAAGTATATTTGTATTGGTTTTCAAAAAGTGGTATAAGTGCATGCCTAGTTATAATGTTTCCTCATCACAGACAGACCTAGTCATGTTTCGTTCACACATGTTTAGCACACAAACCCTGCATATTTAGGCAGAGTTCTTCTCTTAAACAGAAAACACTTTGTTCCATCTTGTGATGTCATGTGGGAATAAAGGAAGCGCTCCACTGTGTTTTTAAACTCCATTTACCTTCACTAGATGATTTCAGCCCTGGAATGGGTCAAAAATGAGTAAAAAGATTGAGCTTTGGAGATGTAGATAGACTAATAATAAAGGATTACTCAAACATGTGTGAATGAAACAAAACACAACTATAGGTATGTTTTTGAAGAGGCAGCAACATTATAACATGGCTTAAATCTCAGAAGTGTCCATTTTGTGTAATAAAGGACCTTTAAACCATGAATCAGTGAAGACTTTTGACAATTGTCAGTATCTTTTCTGTTTTCACACATTTAGACCTGGCACACAAAGCTTACATTGATTCCCAGGTGATTTCATTTCTCATTTACTGTTCTCTGCACCTTGTCAGACCATATCTCTTTTTAGTGTTTACTCGGGTCATGAGCCAGTATAGTTTTGTGCACTGAGCCACCAAATACATGTGTTTGATAGAGTTACACTGTGTGTCTGATGAAATACGTGCTCAATTCTGAGGATGAAATTCTATGAAAATTCTATTGGCAATGTTATATGAAAATGTTAAATTATTAGGAATATGAATGTCTGAAAGATAAAACATCTAGTGTCTTGTTATTACATACCAAGATCTTACTACCTGCAAAAACTAGCTCAAAATACCAGTGTTGTGTATCTTAGCATTGTTTTACTAGAAAACTGCCATGATGTTGTCTATGTACCACAGAAAATGTTTCTTTCAATGTGTTTCTGCATCACTAGACTCTGATTGCGCTGCTGTATTTGGTTGTTCCAGTACTGTCAGTTGTAGTCTAATCTTCATAGCCACCAGAATACAGAATACAGGTATTATAAATATTTAGATTTGATGATCTTTCAGGGCAAAATGCACTGTCTGTCTGACATATGGATAGAACACAGTAAATTACAATAAACAGCATGTTAAAAGTACACTATGTAACTTTCCTGGAGGTCTGCTACCTGATTGTCACAATTGAGAAGTTATGGCATTGCCTGGAATGTTCCAGATTATGGCATTAAACATTTGCCTGGCAAGTCCAAAATGATATCTCTCTGTATTTTTTATACAGATTGATATCAGTCTGGTCCCCAGGCTCTCCGCCGAGTCTCAAGCCTGACCATATGTGGTTGTGCAATCACATTAGAGTTTTTTTGTATGTGAAACGAAGGAGCTCATTACAAATAAAATATAATTTATCTGTCCCTGATTGGATAATCCACCTGTTATTCATGCCCATTTGGAAAATGGAAGATTCACAGGTGACCATCATGCATAAATTCAGTTACGTGAAAAAGGATAAATGTGCATTCTTACTGTGAGGTTGGTCATCTGTCCACAGATAAAACTTGTGACTTGGCAGTTGATGTGTGTTCACTTTCAGCTCTTGGAGAGTTTTAGGGTAAAATCAACATTATACTTTTGCTGCTGATTTGAACAGAATTAGTTTCAACAGACTTCACCAAAATTGCATCATCTCCTGTTGAGGCAGTGTCTGGAGCGTCATATAATGCAGCTGTCAGTTATGAAAACAGCGAGGAACATTTAAAGGCAAAAGAACATGAAGAACCTCAGACTCTCAGAGATGATGGCATCATGGTTTTAAAAATGCAATGTAATTTTGTGCTAACAAAATTGTCATAGTCACAATACAAGAGGTCAAACCTCCAAACACTGGTACTGACTGATAAGGTGTATGTATAAAATTTAACTGTGTATTGTCTCGCAAGTTTACATGAGATATTTCTGGTAAGCCAGAGTAAACCACCATTTTGTGATAGGTGAGACTAACTGGTGTGCAGTAGTCTTGACATATATGACTGAATGTGAGTGCCCCGTGGTTTCTGAAAAGTCTGTAAATGTTCAGTAGTTTGTCTCCATTTGGTTTGTACCAGACGAGTGTGAGCCTGAGTCCAGCTGTGCCCATCTGTGTTGCATTAGACTCACATACTTCCTGCGGTGTGGGTCCACTCTGCGTGTGCACTTGTGTGTACTTGTGTGTACTTTTGTGTACCTGTACTTTGTGTAACTGCGTAACTGCTCCTCTTGCCCACTGAGCCAGACCCCAGCCGTTTCTCCATCCTGCTGCTTTGAGTTAAAGTCTCAGTTATCAGAGTCTATTCATACTCGGAGCAGCAGTAAACAGCGATCACATCTCATCAGTCACCATGGAGACAGCAGCAGCCTGCCGACAGCGCCTCATTTATTTATACCTTTACATAACTCACGCTGCACAGGCCACTGGAGAAAACCAGGGAAAAATGACAGATCAGCAACTCCACAGACCTGTGAACTTTGATAGACTCGTCTTTTGTTCACTGACACAGTAAATGTGTATAACCTTTTTGTACTGTTTGCATACAACTACCAAGACGGACTGTCAGCCCCTGAACAGCACACTTTCAAATCAGCCACAATAAAAACTACAAACTGATGAGAGCTACACACATTATGTTGGTGGCTTGCCTTAGTCTTCTCAAACTGCTATCCCAGTAAGTGTGTGCCCTTTGAAACATATGAATGTAATCATATATTGTGCTGCTACAGGCTGTATCCACCAACAGCCAATCGTAAACAGCAGTATATACAATCACTGTAAAGTATGTCATGTCACTATGAATGCAATATGATTTATGACTGAACATAGACAGGTTTAATGTTCTCAGCCTGTAGTGTTGAAGAAGTAGTGAATTTCTTGCAGTTGATGTTATACCAAATAGCCTTTTCTCCTTTTGAACCATTTAACTCCTGTTGTTGTTATCCTGTGTTATGCTGCTTTGAGCTCAAAATTGTCTTTTACAACCCTATCAGGGCTGTAGAATTTGAGGAAAACAATCTTTTCTGGCATTTATTGTGATTGCAAATAGAATTGAGCTTCATGTATAAACAGAAGTATTTTGTTCAGAGTTCAATTTGTAAACAACTTCAGGACCACTAACTTTTGACTGAATTCTGATGATTCCTAAACTTGTTTGTAGAGGGACGGCTACACACAGCAAGATTTTTCTGTAGAAAGACAGGGCATTTTATTATCTAAATTTGTGTGTTTTTGTGGTTTGATAAATGAGTCTCTGTAAATACTTCACAATATATTCAATAGCATCATGCATCTCCTGCTGACAAATGCCATTGTTTTGTTCAGTATTTGGCTCTGCATATATCCTCCAGCCCCCTGCTGCTCCTCTATCCCTCCCTCTGTCTGTGTCTGTGTCTCTGTCTCTGAACTAAGCCTCCTTCTGTCTCTGCCCCTGTCTCTGCCTATAGACTTGTGCACACATGTCTCTGTCTGTACATATATATGCAGTATACTGTATATACTTGTATAGTGGTGTAGTAGTTCTGTTTGTCCTGCTGACTGACTCCGAGCTGCTGTTGTTGTTGCTGTGCTTTTTTCAGACCGTCTGGTTCGATCTGCACCAGAGGCTAACAGACACAGATGCCACGGCCAGCGCAGTGAGTACACCCCCAGTCGAACCTCTCTTTCATTTAAAGGTGCACTTTGTAACTTTTCTGCTGGACGGTCTACCGCCTCCATGGAGATTTTATTTGTTTGCCTGGAATTTGCACCAGTACTGCATTCAACTTCTCCATCTCCATGGAGCCAGTTCACATTTGTATGTTTTCTGAGTATTTTTGAGATGAAATTGCCTGTAATTGAGAAATGTAAGAAAAATGCAGACTGTAGAACATTCTTGGCAAATCAATAACATCTCCATGTTGACATGCCATCCATCAAAAAAGCTACACAGAGCATCTTTAAATCATACAAGTTTAAGTCACATTACAGTTTCCTGTTTATAGTTACCATTTTGGGGACCATTCAAAAGATATTTTCTTTGAGTTGTTAATTGCTATGGTGACAGTCCCAATTTTTCCCCATTAAGAAACCCATGGATTGTAACCAGCATTTTTTTCAAGGGAAGGCTAATTGGTATATGAATCATTGTGTATCGATCCTTGGGTCAAAATCTAGGTAATTAAAAATATTCCATAGTATATATTAGATGTGTTTTATGTTACTTTAAATTGGGTGAAAATAAAAATATAATTAATAACCCCATGCCTCTTGGGCCATGCTGCTATTGGTGTTGTCTGAAAGTGTTTCTGTTTGTTCTTTGTTACCCTTAGTCAAACTTAATAATTATAAATAATAATAAATACTTTGGACTCACAAAACCTCAGCAAGAGAGAAATCAGAGAGGTGCCACTTGTCCTATATTCACAATCTCAGTCTGTAACACTTTAGAGTACATGCATCAGTGGTCTGCAAGGGAGAAATGCCATGGTCACAGTTATGAGACAGTTTAAACATTTTCTCCCTCTGGTAGTACTATACCTAGTGGCAGACTCAGTCCTAACCTTCAGGGGGCCCTTGGCAAATTTGGTTTAGAGGTCGCCACTACTTCAGTGCCACTCGGGATATTGATTATCAACATTCAACAACTTGACACACACCTGTTATCATTTGCTGTATATGTATCTGTATGCCTCGCTCAGATTGCACTCGGCCCAGCTGCAGCTCCACCTGCAGCTTGGACCTTTGAAGGCGGCACGTGTTAGCGATAACTATTCATGTATTAAGGGAAAAGGCTGCGATGGAATTTGGTGTTTGGCAAAAATAGAATTAATAAATCTGAAGCGCCGCACCACCGGACTGCACGACCCGCACTCTGAGCTCCTCTTTTACTTTTAACTTTTAATGATACAAAATACTCACGGCCCCCAGAGCTGCACCGCATGCAGTCTGAGACCAGGTTCAGATCCACAGCAGACAGTGAAGTATTTATTCACCTTATTCTGGAAGTTGCTGTGAGATCTGCCATCATTATTCTGGTTGTATTATTTTGTATGGGGCTGCCGATCTTCACAGCAATTAAGTTCAATACGGATTATAAAGGCGTTTTAAAGCCCCGTTGAGAATCAAATGAACCGAATTTATGTCATATTTAAGATGCAAAACTGTCCCAAATTCTCCATTGACATGAATGGGATTCCCATTTAACCGGAAGTGCCACCATAAACAAAAGTGAGGTTTAGGAGCATTTAGAGACAAAAGTGGGCAGGGCAGAGTAAGGATAGAGGCTGAGAACACCAATAGCCTCATTCGTGGCTCATTCATGGGTCATTCACTTGTCCAGCAAAGACAAAAGAAGCTTCTGTGATTATCAGTGTGTGTTGCTGTGCTCGTGCTGTTGCTCAGGTGTGTTTATGAGTGAGGGAAGAGGTTGAGGGCAGTGTGCTGTATTGTACAAACACATTTAACTAATCAGAAGTGATATTTACAGTGAGGAGCACACCTTGGCCCGTTTCATCATAACTTCTTGTATATTGACAGACAGACATGAATGAAAAAACTATTGGACTCTGAAGGCAGGGCCCCTCAGTTGCGTAGGGGCCCTAGGCAGCTTGCGTAGTCTGTGTGTAAGAAGATCTGGCCTGCCTAGTGTGGTTGTAGTCTTGTAGATGAGAGACTGAAAATAGAAAGTAATAAATAAGGACAAAAGCAATCTATAGGAGATGTATGCTGCAGGGTATACAGAACAATGCAAGTATCTGCCAACTTATGAACACTGGCGTTGAAAACATTTGTTCCAGTTTTTTTCCCCCTACATCACACCACAGAGGGTGTAACGATTGTTCAGCAGGATTAGAAGGTAGCTTGTTTGTATATTTGACCTTTAATTATAACAAACTATCCTTATGGTTTAGTTCATTATCTTGATTACAGCAGCTGGAGATTCGACTTGCAATCAACAATTTACTTTTAGCAAATTGCAGCCAGTATTTATTTTATGAAGATAGTTCCAATTTACTGTCAAGTATATTTAATGACAGCACGGTGCTGTGGAGACACCATAGTTCAGGAATTAAATATAATTTAACCAGAACAATATAGAGCTTAGTATCAGCTTTATGGCGCATTCTACTTCTATGAGGCATTCTTTTGAAAATGCTGCATTTGCCAAAAACAATATATTGACATATTTCATAAGCTTCATTTTCATTTATGAATTCCTGCCCTTGGCTCCCTGGGTTAAGTCAATCCCCCTTCAGAGCACTATCATAAAACAATCAGTGTGCATCCCACTAATGAAGCTACTACACATCATATCAGGTTTGTCGTCATTGTGTACAGCTTGTATCATGTTTTCATATATTTATGGACAATTGTCATGCAGGTACATAGATGATGTAGGCTTGTGGGCTGAGCAATGCACAGAATCTTTAGTCATTTAGAATAGTTTGAGAGCATTTGCCATGCCCTTGTTTCAGTAAGACGAAGGGAAAGATGTTTCAGCCAACTAGTATACAAAAGGGATCAGTGTGCCAGTCCTCAGCCCAGGCAAACAGAGCTCCATTAGCAAGTTTTGTAGCAAAAGAAGTAAATTCTTTCAATTGGACAGAAGTTTTAGAGTGAAGATGTTTCGTTGCTCATCCGAGCAGCTTCTTCAGTTCTGGTCAGATGCTTGGATGAGCGGCCAGTCTTCACTCTTAAACGTTTGTCCAGTTGACAGAATTAAATGTTTCTTTGCTATGGATCATACCTGGATGACTGAAGGATTACACGGACATTGAAAGTTTTGTCCATGCTCTACTGAATAAAAAGTTATTTTTTGTATGAAATAGAAACAGCCTCTAGGGACTATTTGACTTGTATTTGCACTTACATACTAAACTTCTCCTTCCCCTGCTTCTCTGTTGTTTGTTCTTAACCTGCACTTGTTCCCTGTGCCTTTGTGAACTCTGCTCATGGCTGTTTTAGTGCTTTTCTGTGTTCCAAACCAATCATGAGCATTATTGTGGTAATAAGCCTTCAGAGTCTGTGTCCATGACAACTGATAATTCAGAAGTCAGTCTCTCAGCCTCTCGCTGTGGCTGCTGCCTCTTAATGTGCGCCGTAAGTGGCACCACTGCTGTGGGCAAAGTGCAGCAGGTGATGGTTACACTTCATCCTCCAACACAACACCAAAGCATGGAAGAGTCTGTAATCTGCACAGTCTGTAACTGCTCTTCCTGCAGCTGCACACCTAAAGAGGAGAACAGCACTTAGACACTCTTAGAACACTGATGAATGCATAGTAAAGAAGAAAGGGTTTAAGGTCAGTACAACTGAAGTTGTCAGCATATTGGTTTTATGAATAAGAACTTTCTGGGTGGTGAGAATATAAAAAGTCCTGTATTACACAAAATGGACTCTTGAGAGTCATGTTAAAATGTTGTTACCTCACCAAAAACATGTCTGGAGTGTAAAGTTTGTCTCATTCATATGTTTGTTTTTAATGAGGAAACAACATTATAACACAGAACAGAAAATAGTAATATATTTGTGAACTCTAAAAAGGAAGCCCTGTACAGAATAATTGCTGAGTCTTTGTTAAAACTATGGGGAGACTTGCAAATCAATGCACTTAAAGATGCAGTAAAAATTTTTCAGTTTCAAAAACAGTGGCCAGGTGAACTTTGAAACCTTTTCTGCCCTGGACCTTTCCTGGAATACACCGCAAATAATGCCCTCTGTTTTTACCTTGCCCCTGTATGACCTGCACACATTTTTCAGGTATCGGTATCGGTGAGCACTCAGACCAAATCACAGATCTGATCTGATCTCAGCTTTTGTTTACTCTATAGAATTAGCCATGTGCTCAGAGGCTAAGTGTTTTTTTTACAGGCGTCAGTGCTGGTTTTATCCGCTCTGTGCATGGATCTGTTAAAGGCTCTCTAACCTTTTAATTGATTTAGTTTTTGCTCTTGTACAGGTATAATGTATAAAGATGTGTGGCATCACCCACAGTCCATAGCTCCAGTCAAATCTGGATCCAAGCTTCATATTAGGAATAGGAATCTATTAACGGACAAAATGGCAAAATAGAAACACCGGGATCATGTAGAGGGGGATAATACAAACATTTTAAGACCAAAATAACAAGGCTCATTGCAACTGTTACAAAAAGAGTTTCTCGTTGTAAAGTCAATGAGAAACTGAGTGCTTGTGCCATTACAAAATTGACTAGCCTCAGTCTTCTTTACACTATGTGGTATAGTACTGGTATCAGTATCGGCGAGCACCAAGTTTTTTTTTTTTTTTAATGTATTAGAACAACACTAACCTAAACCATGTACAGTATGTGCATGTTGTGTCGGTGCTTTACTGTAGCACCCACTAGAATTATTTATAATGTGGTTTGAAGATAAACACCTTCTAAAGAAAATAATATTAAATTTCCTTTGACCCAGTGTATCTTCTCTTTATAGCATATCTCCGCACTCCTCTGAACATAAGAAGGTCGCTCCCCTATTCACCTTTACATAATTCCCTCTTACCACTCGCTCCATCCATACCTTGACCCCCCAACTCTCCACACATTCCTATATGATTACACCTCTCCGCCCACTGCAAACCAATCATCTTTTTACACTGCACAAAGACGCCTCAGTGACTTGAGCGGCTCACA